TGAGTGGGGAAGGGACTCAGTGAGTTAGAGTGAGATCTTGTGATGGAGGGACTCGGTGAGTCTACGCCCTGACTCGGCGAGTCCGGTGAACTGAAAGTTGACCTTAACCAGGAAGTTGACTTTGACCAGGGATTTGACTTTGATCAGGGGTAAAATAGTCATTTTACCCTGAGGGCATTTATCAATACCTGATCTAGTGTTTTTGGGATTTTTAGTCGGAGAGTTCCAGAGCAGCAGTCAGCCAGTTTTAGAGTTAGCATCTCAGCAGCTAGCGTTACGAGGTGAGTTTTTCCTTCCAGTAGGAACGGTTCTACAGCCACAATGCCAACCCGATTAGTTAGAAGTAGTTTCGTACCTCGGTCAAATGCAGTAGTTAGAGTGCTTGATGTCTTTGTGATTCAAGCATGTTTTGTGTTATGTGTTTCAGACTCTAGTCCGATGCAGTATGCAGTATATGTGTTCATGCTAGTTGATATGTTTTTAACCAGGAAGTTAACTTTGACCAGGGATTTGACTTTAACCAGGGGTAAAATAGTCATTTTACCTTGAGGGCATTTATCAATACCTGATCTAGTGTTTTTGGGATTTGTAGTCGGAGAGTTCCAGAGCAGTAGTCAGCCAGTTTTAGAGTTAGCATCTCAGCAGCCAGCGTTACGAGGTGAGTTTTTCCTTCCAGTAGGAACGGTTCTATGGCCACAATGCCGACCCAATTAGTTATAAGTAGTTCCGGACCTCGGTCCAATGCAATAGTTAGAGTGCTTGATGTCTTTGTGATTCAAGCATGTTTTATGTTATGTGTTTCGGACTCTAGTACGATGCAGTATGCAGTATGTGTGTTCATGCTAGTTGATATGTTTATGCTATGCTATGTTGAGACAGTTTCCGGACTTCGTTCTGATGCAGGGGACAAGGTCCCAGTCAGTTCCGGACTTCGATCTGATGTAATTTCCGGACTTCGGTCCGATGCACAGGGCAAGGCCCTGGTTAGTTCCGGACTTCGATCCGATGCAGTTTCTGGACTTCGGTCCGACGCAGAGGGCAAGGCCCTGGTTAGTTTCGGACTTCGGTCCGATGCAGTTTTCGGACTTCTGTCTGATGCATTGGGCAAGGCCTAATAGTTGTTTATATGTTATTGTATGGTATGTGGTAGTTTGGGGGAGCTCACTAAGCTTTGTGCTTACAGTTTCAGTTTTGGTTTCAGGTACTTCCGCTAGCAAGGGGAAGAGCTCGGGTTGATGGTATCGCACACACCACAACTTCAGTTTTATCCTGGGGGTTCTATTCAGATATTTTGATATGATTGATACATTTTTTGTTTGACACAGTTACTATGACTTTTGAGTTACTCATTCCATGGCTTTTATTATATATGACATTCGATGATGTGATTTTAGTAATATTAAAAGCAAAATTTTGGGTCGTATTTTGGGTTGTTACAACAAGTATGATAGCATGAAGAAATATTAGCGCCTTTGGAAATTTTTAAGAACATGAGAAACTGGTTTAGGTTGGAACCCAACCACTGGAAAGCTAGATTGTTCGAATGAATGGTGGGATAGAAAGCTAAAAGTATTACTTAGATATTTATATTTGTAGTATTGAGTATTCTTTGGATATTATAGTGTCTTATTAGTTGACGTTATAGTAGAAACCCGATGCAAAGAAGTACCGTCATACAGGAGTTTATCCACTACTAAAAGAAAAATGGGATCATCTGTTTGATGATGTTGTGGCAATAGGAGCAGGTTGTGTATCTCCCTTATTAAATCTGGAGTCTATAGATAAATCAATTAATGTTGTAGAGGAGATACAAAATGAGAATGGTTGGTCTGATGAGGCTATGCGTGAATACTCTCAATATTCAAGACTGGAGAGTCTAGATAATCAAGAAAATTCTTTTTGGACTAATTTTACTGAAGAGGTTACTGTTGACCCTACAAAATATGATGTTCCTAAACAAAGTAAAAAAAAGGGAGTCCAGGGGCGCTGTTTTAATAAGGGAGCATATAGAAAAGGTTCACGAAATCCATTCATATATTGTGGGTTTGATCAAGCAAGGTCCAAACACTAAAAAGGATGATGTAGGACCTAATATTAAGCAGATAATGGAAATTATGAACCGGATAGCTGCAAATGATGATTTGAAGGTTGGTGGGGATATTTGGTGTCATGCGATGCATATGTTTCGGGATCCAAGTAACAAAGATATATTCTTCGAGATGTCGAGTGATGATGCTAGATTGGCTTGGTTGAAGTTTGCTCATACGAGAAACACAATTTGAAGAATTTAGGTTGAATGGATTTTTTAGTGAATAGTATTATTTTCAAACTTAATGTTAGTAATTAATTTGATGTTTATCTTTTCATTGGATTTCAATCTTGTTTATTTGCAATGTTTTGTATTTTAGTTTGGTGTTACCTTCCTACTTGGTATTTATTTATTTTTCTTGTAATGTTATTAATGAATACAACTTAGAATGGATGACAATCAAAGGAATCAACTTCTTCTACTTTTAACATTGAGTATTCTAGAAGAACATGTAGGAGTGGTTAATTATTACTACACTCATATTTACAAGGAGCCATGTATGACTTCAAAGCAGACAGGAGAAGCATGGATGAACGAGATCTTGGACGGTCATACAATACGATGTATTAATGCTTTCCTTATGAGTGCTAGTTTATTTACACAACTATGTGAAGACTTGGAAAAAAAATTATGGGTTGAAGTCAAGTGATAGAATATCAGTAAAAGAAAAGGTTGGAATATTCTTGTATACAGTTGCACTAGGTTTTTCTAACAGAGACGTTGCCGAGAGGTTTCAACATTCTGGAGAGACAATTAGTCGAGCTTTTCATGATGTGTTGGAATCAATATGTGGAAGGAGAAAAGGGTTCATGGGTCTTGCAGGTGAGTATATTAGTCCTAAAGATGCAACATTTCATTGCATACTGTCTCATATTGAAAATGATAGTCGATATATGCCTTATTTAAAGGTAATTAATTGTGGTATTTTGTTTTTATATGTTTCAGTATTGTAATTTAAACATTTTCTTAACAGGATTGCATTGGATGCATTGATGGTACTCATATAGATGGATGTATCCCGATGGTCGACCAAATGAGATATAGGGGAAGAAAAGGAGTCCCTACATTCAATGTAATGGACGTATGTGACTTTGACATGTGTTTTACGTTTATATATGTAGGGTGGGAAGGGTCGGTGCATGATACTTGAGTGTTCATTCATGCAACTGAGACACCTTTTATGAATTCTCCTAAGCCCCCTGAAGGTACAAGTACTTTTTTACTTTTTAATATTTGTTGCGTTAACAATCATTTGAATTTATTATTTATCTATTTTTATATAGGAAAATATTACGTAGTAGACAAATAATACCCTGACCGAAAAGGATATCTAGCACCATATCCACGTCTTAGATATCATAAGTCATAATTTTAACATGTACTTCCAACCAATGCTCAAGAGGCTTTTAACCACTTATTTTCATCTCTTCGAAGTTGTATTGAACGTTTGTTTGGAGTGTTAAAAAAATGTGGAACATATTGGATAGAATGTCAAAATTTAGTGAGAAGACTCAAATAGATATGATCATGGCGACATTTACCCTTCATAACTATCTTCGAAGAAATGATTCGAAAGATATGATTTTCAACATTGTTCAACAACATAATTACATACCTAGAGAAGAACAAAAGAATTATTCAAGATTTAGTCATGATAATATTCGACAGTTACGGCATGAGATGCGAGAAATTCGTGACAATATTGCGAATATGATCTAGAATGCACGACATTTCACTTAAACATAAATAGTCGTAAAAACGTTAGTATTTTCTTTAATTTAGTTTTATGATTTACATATTTGTTTTATAAAAATTGAATCATTTTCGTAAATGTCCTTTTATGTAATTTTACATTTTCTAACCACCTTATCAGCTAGTTTTTACCAAAGGCCAAATTTTATCAGCTAGCACCTAGCTTATCAACTAGTAGCTACCATTTCGGACAACAGTTAATTTTTCAGTTAACATGTAGCTTTTCAGTTAGTCTGCCAAATATAGCCTTAACCATTTGATGTCTTCCTCACTATGATCATGCCTCTGATTTAGCCTCATCATTTCGCTATTGGAAGATTCGCGATTATACATATTTATACATATCAAAGATCACAACCTCATCAATTTCTTGATTATACATATTATTCTAAATTGTTTACTTCTATTTATTTATTTATCTTACTTCAATTTATTTTAGTTAAAGAAAATTTTATTCTTACTGAAAAAACTCAAAACTTCTAACCCCAAAAACATGATGTTACATCATTAGTTTGTATTTATTTTATTTTTTTAAAAAAAAAAGCAAACTAAATTGGTTTTGGTAGATGAAAAATATGGATTTTTATAGAAAAAACATCATAAATGGTCCCTATGGTTTCCCAAAATATGAAGTTTAGTCCCCATGGTTTAAAAACATCATAGATGGTCCCTGTGCTTTCAAAACTTTTGACGATTGGTCCTTATTGCTAACTCCGTTAACTTTTGTCCGTTAACTGAAGGGCTTTTCGTCATTTCACTACCATAGGGACCATTTCTGATGCTTTTTCTTATTTTAAAAAAAAAGAAAATAATTAAATAAAAGGTCTCTCTCTCTCTCTTTCTCTCTCTCTCTCTCTCTCTCTCTCTCTCTCTCTCTCTCGTCATCACCTAGATACATCACCTCATTTCCCTTCCCCAATATCTATTTCCATTTTAGATTTGCAGGTGGCCATCTCGTTCTCTACCCCTTCTTCTCAACCTGCAATTAAAGGAAAAACACACAAACACACCCACAAAACTGCACTTGAAGGAAAAACACTTCACATACACATTAGAGGCAACGAAGGCGACATATGCCCCCTAATATCTTGATGAAGCATTTCAGTTCAATCCATTGGAATCTTTGATCCCACGTGGAATCAGAGATTTAGGAAGTTTTTCAAGCACCATTTGATTCAACAGTAAGTTTTTCAACTACAAGCTGATCAGGCGAAGCTATTAAACCAACACCCATTGCCCCCCATGTTCCTGCATCTAAATAGGTTTTGGGTTCCATTTGGACCAAAACGAATTGACCCACATCCATGGTGTTAGCCCCTTCTGAAACCAATATAGGAGCAGGACTACCTAAACTAGCAATGGCTTCTCTGATAATCCTGATTGGAGTAAAAAAAATCAATGGTAACATTAACATTTGAGGCTCAGATCTATTATTTTGATCGAAAAAATGGGCCACACCGCCATGGCTGCAACAACGGTTTCCCCGCCAAGATACAAGATGAAATTTCACCATTTCCCCAATTTGATGCTCATATCAACTACAAAAAAACAAAATCATCACAGCCTCCTTATAACCAAATCCAATCTACAGGCGAGAAATTATAAAAACGCACATGAAATTAGAATAATGAACGAAAGCGAACAGAAAAAAGTCTGAATCGATTTGGCACTAGTGGTGGCTGAATCAAATCACAACCCTGATCTATTTTCTAGTTCTAAATTTCTCCCCTCTCTCACTTGATTCTCTTTCTCACTCAGTAACATACACCAAGAAACCCACTAGCTCCCTTCAATAACTGTCGAGTGATCGAAAAATGATGGACATAAGGGAATGGAGGTTGTTGGTGAATAGTCACGAGAATATGAAGAATAGGGTGGGGGAGTCTAAAAGGGGTGTTTTGAGAGAGAGAGAGAGAGAGAGAGAGAGAGAGAGAGCGCTCCTATTTAATTATTATTTTTTTTTTAATAAGAAAAAGCTTCATAAATGGTCCCTGTGGTAGTGAAATGATGAAAATGTCATTCAGTTAACGGACAAAAGTTAACGGAGTTAGCAATAAGGATCAATCGTCAAAAGTTTTGAAAGCATAAGAACCATCTATGACGTTTTTAAACCACGGGGACTAAACTTCAGATTTTGGGAATCCACAAGTACCATTTATGATGTTTTTCATTTTTATATGTTATGAGATGAGAGAGGTAGAAGTGTGAAGAAAGAGAAAAAATGTTGTATCAGAGATGTAAAAAAAATGTTAGAAATGATGAAAAATATATATTTCTTCCGTCCTAAGAGGTTAAAAATTAAATTTTAACGTTCAAAATATGTATATCGAAAAATATCACATAAAATTTTATAGCTACATATTATTAACTAGGCGTGAGACCCGTGTAGTACACGAGTTTATAAAAAATAAAAGTTTAATAAAGTTATAAGGCTTGTGTAACTTTTAAAGCAATAGTTTTACATAAATACAAATGATATAATCATTTAATTAATTAATTTAATATATATTCCAATAGATTTGAAACAAGAAGGAAAGAAATCTTGAAAGAGTATTTATTATAATATTTAATATAATGATCTATCTTATGTATATAAATTTTATTAAAATTTGAATTTTAAATTTAAGAAAAATGAAAAATACAAAAAAAAAAAAAAAAAAATAACAAGTGGGAAAAAAATAATTAAAAACATCTTAAAAAATAACATGTATCAAATTCAATAAGAACATGACATTTGACAAAAATAATTTACCAGGTTAGATTATCAAATATAAGTATTTAATCAAATATTTCATACATTTACATAAATAGTATATGCCTAATCAAGAATTTTAAAAAGAAAAAATCATAAAAGAAAAAAGGAAAAAAGGTGTCAACCTTTCACAAAATTATAGAAATTATATAGCAAATCTCTATAAGGGAGAATTTCATATATGTCCTTCTTAAACATCAAAATATCATATTTACCCAACTTAATTTCTAAATATCATATTTATCCTTCATAAAATTTCTAAATATCATATTTATCCTTCATAAAATTTCAAAATATCATATATGTCCTTTTTAAACATCAAAATATCATATATGTCCTTCTTAAATATCAAAATATCGTATATGTATTTTTTAAATATCAAAATATCAATGGTAATATCTGAAATATCCTCCATCTAGAACATAATAATAATTAATAACAACAAAAACTAAACAATCAAAATATACATTCCATAGAAAGGGTTGAAGATGAATCTTTTTGTCTGTCAAGACGTCGACATTCCAACAATTTAGAAGTTCACATTCCTTTATCATAGACGTAATGATAATATGTTTAAATTTCTTAATTATTATAATAATTCTAATGTATAAAAAATGATTATAAAATATTAAAAACATTATAAAAAAAGATTTGGGCAAATATGATATTTTGAAGGTTTATGAAGAGTAAATATGATAGTGAGAAATTAAGCTGAGCAAATATGATATTTTGAAGTTTAAGAGGAGCATATATGAAATTCTTCCTTAATAAAATTATAAAAATAAACTCTATCAAATGGCAAAGCTACATAAATATTCCATGTGTTTCCCAAAATTACAAAAATAATCATTGTCTAATTAAAAAATAATACTCCATCCGTCCTAAATTTATTGTCTGTCACACCCCAAAACCAAGAACGGCGGAAACGTTCTGGGGCGGAGGACGTCATATAAAGTATCACAACACAGTAAATGTAAATAAGCAAACAACATCATCCATTGCATTAAATATAAAATTTTAATACAAGCGTGTTCTTTACAGTTTTAGACACCAAAAATATAATGCGAATCAAAATAATATGATGAGTCTTGAAATGCGCTCCATCCTCTCAAAAGTTGGCCTCGGTACTTGCCTACTGATGACCTGAGAATCCAAGTTATTTTGAAAGAGTTTATCAGCATTAAGCTGGTGAATTCATAAGTATTTTAGTGTCGGTGTTCGTTATCAAAACGTTTGAACCTATCGCAAGTATGAGTTGTAAATGTATGTAAGTGTTTGTAAAAGTTTGAATCTCTCAGAAAAACCTATATTTTCTGTTAAAGTAGCCCTCTACCAAGGCTTAACTGTTTTGTATGCTCGTTTGATGTAAAAGTGTGTAATTTCCCAAGTGTAACTATCTTTTAACAAAATATAGTTTGTACATTAAAGTTTAAGTGAGGTTATCACCAAAATGTAATGGGTAAATCATTGTAGTACTGTAGTTTTGTTTTATAGGAACTACTGTTGTACTAACTACCTTAAACCGGATTTATATTAAGGTATCATGTGATAAATTGCACCATACTATCGACTGGTAACATCGACAACGTATAGTCGAAAAATAAGGTATGACGTTTGGCACCCGCAGACCTGTCGGTCCCACTGTAGCTAGCAGCGAGGTGTAGGATAGTCAATCCAGTATAGATCTATACGCAAACTCACGCTCTCCCTCCAAGAGACTCTGGCTACAACTCGGGTCATAACAATTAAGACATGCTCCCATACAGTGTATCACAATTGTTAACGTATTCGTGTATATGCAATATAATGTTACTTGTTCTAGTATCGTTGTATATGTTCTCTTAGTAATAAGTATTGACTCCTGAATGAACTGACTCGTTGATCTAGAAATTGTAGTAGTATGATCATGTGTTACCCCGATGGTAACTTACTAATGATGTGCTGATAAGTATGAATATGGAAGTACTTTTATGTCTATACATGTATATATGATATATAACTAATATTGAAACGACCCTCGGATGGTCACCCGAAATCCCACCAGACCACATCTCAGTGCGCGAAAAGGAAATAGGGCGGATGGCCTTCCTAAGCCCTTTAAACATTACTTATATATCAATACATATATTTGCATGCAATTTATAAGTAGTAAAACAAAGTTTAAATAAAAGCATTTGATAAGTAAAAGAGTTTGTAAAACATTTTGAAGTAAAACAGTTTGAACAGTGATAAAATCATTGGTTTCCTAGTTATTAATCACATGTGATTAATGCAATCACATGTGATCGAAGCAATAACTATAAGTGTTTAACTTGTATTCCCCCCCCCCCCCATAAAGTACTTAAAACATTTAAAAGCATTTCAAAGGTTGAATAAAGGGGTATGAACTCACTTGGAAGTTTGAAGATAGCGAGATCGAAAACCGGGCAGAGTTTCGTCTCGGGAAACGGATTTTTCTTGGGATTCTCGGGAATCTCGGGAGTAAAATCGACCTTCGGGACTTGCACAAAATGACCAGGGCTTCAGGTTTGAACGGGCACGGAAAATGAGGCAAGATCGTGAGAGAAAAAGAGAGAATGAGCAAAAAATTTCGGAACCCTCGCACCCCTTTTATAGGGGCGCTAAACCGCCTCCGTACGCGGGGCGTACTGGCGTACGCAGCGCGTACGCGACGTCATCGCTTACGTATTTCGGATGGGGCAGGTCGGATGGGGCAGGTCGGATGGGACGGCGGGTCGGGTTGCTTCGCATAGGGCGACGTGGACGATCCGAGGCCGTGGCCTCGAGTACGCGGGCGTACGAGGGTACGCGGCGCGTACCTCGGCCCTAGGCTGACTCCTCTTCGGATAATACCGAATTTTTAATAAAAATTATATATAAATTATTTATCAAATTTCAAAAATTCATATCTCCTTCATACGAACTCCGTTTTCGACGTTCTTTATATCCCCGCGAAGGTGAAGCTACGATCTACAACTTTAGTTTAGATTCCGTTGGCAAATTCCGAAATTATTTTTATTATTTATTTATTAAAATGACGTGATTAAGGAATTTCTTTAAAAATTCATGACTTCTTTTTCTGACGTTGGTTTTTGCCAGACTTTTTACCGGTGAAATACCATTGTCGAGACCTTCGATTCTCGTTTAGGTCATTCCAGCCAAATGTCACTCGATCTCCGATTCGAGTTTTTAGCTGTCTGTTGCTAAGCTGAACTTGGAAAAATCATAAATTCAATATACGAAGTCGGATTTGGGCGTTCTTTTTACGTACGATCATGGTTTAATGATATTTAAACATAGAAGAATTTAAATAGAAACTTTTTGGACATTTTATTATCAAAGTTAATTTTATTAACTCAAAAATGTTTACAATACTTGACCTATTAGGTCATTACAAAGAGTTGAAATATCGGGTTGTCACATTGTCCACAGACAAAAAACACAAGATTAAGGAAACATTAATTATCATTAACTTTATTAAATGAAATGACAACTATACCTTTTGTTTAATCTATGGTATTTGTATTTAATTACATTGTAGTTTTAATAATAATAAAGGGTATTTTGGTAAAAATGATATTTATTTTTAGAAATGGATAATTATTTTGAGACAAAGCAAAAAGAAAACATGGAATATTAATTTGGGACTGAGGGAATAGAAATTTATGATATGTTTCATAAAATTATAGAAATAGGTCCAGCTTAATAGCGAATTTATAGTGATGGTCTCATGTTTCACATAAATTACACAAATAGGCTTTGTATATAAGAGATCTTTATAAAAATAATATCGAAGATTAATAAACTGGCTGTAACACACAACCATCCCAATAGTTTTCTTAAAGCATTGGATGTTGGCAATTAGATGTAACACCAAATTGGTATCACCTCACATGTCACATCACCAATGGTGTTATAACACAAAGTAGGGAAATAGTTTTCATGTTATAACAAGATGTAACACCAACTTTTTTCTATGTCATTTTTTGTGTTTATTTTTTTGAGTTTTTTTTTACTTTATTAGTTTGTCTTTTTTTTAAATTAATAAAAGAAATACATTTTTATAATATATAATATTTAAAAAAAAAAACATAATATTTAAAAACTAAAATTAAGATTAGAATAAAAAAAAAAAAACACTTAATTTCAAAAGATAACATTTTTTCCAAGTCCTAATTAACCCAATAACATTTAAATTAAACCTAAAACAATAATATTTTACTACTAATCATAATTAATCCTTCTCGCTAATCCGAAGAATTGACAACTGATGAGTCATTAGTTCTCTCTTTTTTTGCTCCCGTTTCTCCCATGCTTGCCTTTCTAAGAACTCCAACTGACGATGTTTCAAGTCATTTTTTCTTTTATTAATAAATTGTGCTCATCGAATTTCGCTCTCATTTCCGCCGCATCTTTTGTTTTCGCCTCAACCTCCTCTGCATGTCTTGCAACGCGCTTCGCTTGGTCGCATCTGGGCAGTCGTCGTGGTGAGGATATCTCGTCGATATCATCCATGATGCCATCGGTGTCGGCGTTTAGGTCGATGTGAGTCTATGTATCCGACACGTTGACTGAGCTCGAATTGCGAGACCTTTTGGATTAAACCTCCAACGATGTAAGAGTTTTATTCCAATTTGGATCTGCTCCCAACAAGTCCCATTATTTCTCAAACTCGAAAACATGTCCCATTTAGACCCGATATTGTTCTTTTGCAGATTTGAACAAATTGAAGTCGTTGGTTCCACTTTGCTTTTACATCTCAAGTCGGTTGTAAATACCGTTGAATTTGCTGCACCGCTTAGTTATTTGATTTCATTTGCAGCTTAACATATCATTATTGCGATACAGTTTTTTCTTCAACATAGCGTGGAATTTTTCGAACACCACCACCTAATAAGCACCTTTCTTCATTCCATTTCCGTGGAGTTCGTCTTTTGAAGTAGTACACCATGTCACCGTCAAAGCATATTTCTTCTCCAGTGTCCACCATTGAGGAACGTCTGCATTTTCCGTTTTAACCGCTATCGATTTCCCTTTTGTTTTTCGTTTCCCTTTCCCTCTCCTACTACCTCCCGCTTCCACTTCAACCGATGGTTGTGATGGAGGTGGTGGTTGGGTGGTTGTTTGTTGCATCGAAACAAAGTAGGAAGAAGATTTTCTGTGTAAATTTGGGTTTTGACCAAATAGATTTTTTGAAGATAAGGTGAGTTGGGAAATTGCAGTGGTGTTGAAACAAGATTGAAAACGACGCTTTGGTATAAGATTTGTAGTGATCATTGAGACGATAAAATATTGAAATAATTTTCATAACCCGCAAATTCGAATAACAAGGTTGTGTTTGGGTTTGATGATGGATGGGGATGCTTGGGTTTTGCTCTATTTTTTTGATTGAGAGAAAGTATGAAATTTTTTATAAAATATAAAGAGAAAGAGAGAAAGAAAGATGTAAAGAAGATTGATGTTGTATTTATATAAATGTTTAAAAGGTAAAACAAATTTTTGACGTTTTGACCGTTTTAACAATGGTCCATTGCAATCAAACAATCAAAGGGTCAATTTTAGTGTGTTTCACCCGGTGGTAACGAGGATGAGAAACCCCGTAACGAGAAACAACGAGCAGGGGCGGTGTTCCCCATTACAACGTCGTTAAGGCGTTTCCACGTCGACTATAATGAGCACTTGTGTGCCCCTACCGAATAATCTTACAAAAAAAAAAGTAAAAAAAAAAAAAAAAAAGTATAAATAAAATAAATAAATAAAAACTAACAATGTCGGTGATCCAACGCTAGCCGATCCAAAATGTACAAAAGATTATGAAACGTTGATACCAACGGCCATATCGATATTTTCGCAAACAATAAATACTACATTCCTTAATTAAAACAAAACAATAGCTTCAATCCCTACTTAAACCCCAAGCTACTTCATTCCATAATCATATAATCATCGTCATCATCAAATACCAACTTCTCTTGTATTCTCTCTATCTCTATCAACACCATGAATCGTCACCCACGTCCATATCGCACCTTTCTTCCAAACCAATACCTAAACACCCTAACCACTGTTCGTATACACCAACCACTGCAACAGTACCTTTATAATTGGTCTGTAGATGAAGATCAAGTCGCTATACTCAACGGTGTCGACATGTATCCACCACCGTCGTCTTTCTCCACCCGCACACACCCACCACTGCAATTTATTGGCGGAGGACACTGGCAGCAGTCTGAAATCGTAGATGAAGTAGTTATACTGGAGAATATTGGCATGAATCAGAGCTTTAGACATGAAGGTTTGACGAAGAAGGTAATCTCCAAGAATCTTAAACTGAAACAGATCAACTGCTTTGAAGAAGAAGGAGAAGATGAAGATGGGATTTGTGTGATATGTCAAGTTGGATTCGAGAGAAAGGAAACGGTAGGAGTTCTTGAATGCAAACATCGTTACCACGTTGAATGCATTAAGGAGTGGCTTTTTCATAAGAATGTTTGTCCTCTTTGTAAGGTTAAGGTTTTTCCTGTGTAAAATCGTTTTTTATTTTGTTTTTAATATAAAATTAGTTCTTGTTTATCAGTATCTCTTTACCTGTTATATGTTTGTGCTTATGATTAAAAAGCCTCATAAATTGTTTAAAATATAGTATTAAAATGACAGAAAAAAGAATATTGAATGTTTATCACAAATGGCCTATTATTTCATAAGACATATTTTTTATGTAAATTGTTTTATCATTGATCCCCACGAGATATCCTAAAGAATCACGAACGTTAAAGGTTGTGAATTTTATTAAAGATTTATGTAATGGAGACTATGAATAACGAAACTTTGCGAAAAATATATCTTACTAAATAAACTGTATTTTTGTGAAAATAATAATAATAATAATAAATACTTTGTCATAGTGATTAGTCCTTTTGTAAAAATATTTGATATGATTTGATAAATAAAAAAAGGTTTGGCTGTCCACACAAATCGTACCTCTAATATCCCGTACTAATATCTAGACATTTAGCTCGAATTAAAATGGATCAAAATAGTTATATATAAGTCATCAACAATTTAATAAACATAAATTAAAATAAAAACTTACTTAACATTTTTCATAAAAAATGACATTTTCATTCAAAACCTACTAAGAAAAAGCTAGAACACGAAAAATGTTAGGCTCTCCGGTATGTAAAGTAACTCACGTGTGGGTTTTATATGTGACACACCAACCTACCTGTGAACACTGTTTCAGAGGCTAGTAGGTTGGGTGTGGAGTGGGCTGCAATGGTGGTGAAGATGCATGAAGACATCAAATGGGAAGGAAGTAAGCTTTTAATGAATCAATAGGAAGGAAGTTGTCTTTTTTTAATCCATTGCAAACCAAAAAAAAAAGAAAAAATTCAAATGGTTAGTGGTAACCATTTACAAAGTTTAGTGGTTTGATAGTGAGCTTATAGTGAAACTGACGTGATGCTGAGTTGGTTTGAATAGGTTGAATGTGACCACTCCTCATGGTCTTACAGAGTAAGAGTGTGGCCTACGGAATGGTGGTTTAGACCTGAAAAGATGGATGTCAACTTTAATCCTCACCAACTCTAGGTGTTCCTTCCTCCTACAAGCTAGCTTTTGGGTTTGATATACCTAGATTTGTCAAGTAGTCTACAAGGGATAAATTGGGAAATCAAATAAATAGAGAGCAACTTATTAGTGGAAGAGGTATTTTGGGTATTTATATTACTAGTATTTAGTTTGTTTGAGCATAGTGCTTAAAGAGGATAGTGGGAATGATGGTAATGTCATCTTTTGTATGAAATTTGGAATTATTATCCGGGAGAGGCAAGACTCTCAAATCACTAGCAAGCATTAAGTTATCTTTGTTCATTTTGGTGTTAATATGAGTGTTTTATCAATCAATATTAAAAGCTTTTGCTTTGTTTCATGTTTGAGTTCATCCTGCAAATCAGTTCAAAACAATTTAGGATTGCTTACTTAAAACAACATATATTAAAACGGGTTTTTTTTTTTTTTTTTTTTTTGTAAACATATTTGGTACCAAAAAGAACAAGTTTGTTTGATATTTAGCAAAAAAAGAAATATGAGCTTACAATCCGTATGGTTTTTTAGAGTGTTAAAACCTAATACATAAGAAAAAAGATAATATGGAGTCCACATATAAATAACATTTTTTCAAACCGAAATTTATATTTTAAGTACATTTTATAGTATATATCCAACCATTCAAAAAGACGCATTAACATGACCAAAATGCAATTAACCGATAAACTTTTTAATTAAGAATAATTGTAAGAGATTAATCTACTTCAAATATCTATAATTAGTTTAAGATATATTGAATATTTTAAATTTAAACTAAGAGCGTGGTGGTGACATACCTCAAAGTCTAACGTACATTAAAATCTCTTCCTCTTTGATATTCTTGTTTCACTCGTACAACAGGCATGATGCTATGGTCACAATAAATTTATTTGTTTAAATAAAACATATCAAAAATTTTGAAAATTACATCAAACAGAAAAATAATTTCAAAGATTCTTGCTTCACTTGCTAATGCATGGAAAGTGAAGAAGAGAATGACACCTCACACTTGCTTCACTTGCTAAACCATCGATGTCACTCGTAAATCGCATATGAAACACCTCATCACCAACCCAACAAACTTCACACTGTCATCCTCAACCATGATGTCATCAATCATCATCATCACCAGGTACATGGAGACTCAAACCTTACTTATTCTTAACTGTAACCATTTCTTCAAGAATTCGTAAATCCAGAGAGAGAACTGTGGAATGCGTATCAGGTGTTTGACTAATTGCCTGAGTGAAAATGGGGAAGAAACGCGTTATGTTGCCTGCCACAGAAGTTGATTTGACTAAAGTCAAGTACAATCCTGGAGAAATCCAAGGTTCTTCTTCTTCTTCTACCTGTTGATCGAATGTTTTTCATCATTTCCGAAATAAAACTGGATTTGTTAATTTTGTTGCAGCTCCTGATGTGACTGGGCTATGGCTATGGATTTTTGTCAAGTTACTTGAAACGCCATTGATAGGTCCTGTGATCCTTTCTTACTTGAAGAAACAAAACAAAATAACAGAGGTTTGCTACTTTGCTCTTTTAACTAAATCACAAACTCTCTTATTTGTTTAAACTTCAATCTATGATTCTACACAGATGTTAAAGGAGACTGTGATACCAGAATCACCAATGTTTACACCTGAATTTCCTCCTCAAGGTTTTCTCCTTCAAACTTCCAACTCTCATCGATACTATTCAAAACCATTTTACTACTCTCATGAGTTTGAAATTTGATATTACAGAACCAGAACCAGGAGTTGTTTATATCGAAGAAGACAAAAGCTCTCAACACCGAGTTGACTCAGCCATTAGATGTCTTCCTCACTATGATCCTTCTTCTGATTTAAATTTAACCCCATCATTTCACTACTGGAAGATTCGTGATTATGCATATTCATACAGATCAAACATCACAACCCCATCAATCGTATGTCATTTTCCCCTACTTTTCTATTCTTCTTCAAGATATAAATATACATATACATTTTACAGATTGCAGAACATGTGATCTCTGCAATACAAGAATTCAGCAACAAAAAACCCCCAATACCTCTATTGATTTCTTTTGATGCCATGGATGTAAGAAAACAAGCTGCAGCTTCTACTCAAAGGTTTTATACAGGAACACCATTGTCAGTATTGGATGGGATCTTCATGGCAATCAAGGATGATATAGATTGCTATCCTCATCCATCTAAAGGTATATTATATTATAATATAATAATATAATATCATACTTTTTAATTATCTAATAGTTACACACATAACAATAGGTGGGACAACATGGTTTCATGAAGTACACAGTGTTGAAAAAGATGCAATTTGTGTATCAAGGTTACGTAATTGTGGAGTTATTTTTGTTGGGAAGGCGAATATGCATGAATTTGGACAAGGGACTACAGGAAATAACTCAAACTATGGGTAATGTTTTCACTTTACATGTTTGAATTTCCAAATTGTTTTTTTTTTTTTTTTTATAATAAAAGTTCGTTTGAAATTTACAGAATTACTCGAAATCCACATGATTTGGAAAGATATACGGGCGGATCTTCATCGGGGCCCGCAGCTATTGTAGCTTGTGGGATATGTTCGGCTGCATTAGGCACAGATGGAGGAGGTTGTATATTTATTGTGTGCATATTAAAGGAGACTTTGAAATTAAGAAATCAAATTCTTTTTTTTTTTTTTTTTTTTTGATTCTCATGGTGATAAAAATACATGTTCGAAATCATAGGTTCGATTCGTATTCCATCTTCCCTTTGTGGTGTTGTGGGATTAAAAACAACATATGGTCGTATCGACATCAATGGGTAAGATTCTGTGAGTCATCTAGTGGGATCCATTCTACTGTAATAGTCTGAGAGTTTCAATTCCAATGTGGATTGGGCTTTTTGTAGGCCCGTTAAGCTTAGTGGTTGCTAGAAAATATGTTTTTTATATAAATATGATTTCTTTAAAGCAAAAATAACATTTGAAACAAAATTTTGAAAAAAAAATGTAAAAAAACTAAATTTATGATAAATTTGTAACAAAATTGTGAAATCTATGCTAAAAGTGAAAATTTTGGACCAAATTTGTAGTAAAATTAAAAATATAAGCCAAAAGTGTAAATTTTAAAAGTGGGACGACCGATAACCAGGAAAAATGATGAAAATGAATACATTTACCGGTATTCGGGACTTAATCAGAAAAAAAAAAAAAAAAAAAAAAAAAAAAAAAAAAAAAAAAAGTTATGTATTTACGGATTTAATTGAATATGAGGTCAAAATGTAGGGACTTTATGGTAGATTTTCTAAACTAAATGATTATTTATAATCTTAATTCATATTCTCAAGAGCATTATGCCATGGAACGACTATGGGAAATGTAGGACCAATTGCATCAAGTGTTGAAGATATCATGCTCGTGTAAGCAACTCTTATAAATATTAATTTTTTATATCGTTTTCTCCTTTTTAATAAAATCGGTTCATTGGTTTCTTCAGTTATGCAGCAATCTTAGGTGCCTCTCCTATTGATAAAACGAGCCTTTTACCTGTAATTACAATATCCTCCTTTCATTTCTTCATGTTACAACATTACACCTTAAATTATCCAATTTCTAATTTCTATTGATATATAAATCATCTAATTTACAGTCTCCCCCGTGTTTGCCTGATTTATCATCACTTGAGAATTCTAGTATTTTGTCATCAATAAGGATAGGAAAGTACACCGAGGTCATCCTTGTCTTTTCCAATATTAATTTTTATTTTTTATTTTTTGTAAATATCACAAATGTCTTTACTTATCATATGTTTGTTTTATAGTGGTTTAATGATGTCCTCTCACCCGACATCTCAACAAAATGTGAGGATGCACTTAATACGTTATCACAAACTCATGGATGCAAAGTAAGTATATATAGCTTAATCAATCTCTAAGGGTTTAAGTGTAACTGTAAATGACCATTTTACCCTTCACATGTCTTTTTGAAGGTAGTAGAGGTTGTGATACCCGAGCTTCACCAGACACGAACATCTCATCTTGTTTCGTTTGGTTCCGAATCATTAGCCTCACTAACACCTCACTGTCAAAACGGGTATGTCAGACTCTCAGACATAAATGACCATTTTACCCTTCCTACACTGTTTTTCACTTATACATGTTTGACTATATATTCAGGAATGAAAAGAAATTCACATTGGACACACGGACAAATTTCGCCCTTTTTCGGTCATTTACAGCTTCAGAATATGTTGCTGCTCAACGTTTGAGGTGATTCTAAAAAAAAAAGGTTTTTTTTTTTAACAAGTAATAACCATATTTTTATATATGATTTTTTTTTACAGACGAAGACTCATGTATTATCATATGGAGATTTTCAAGATGGTTGATGTCATAGTTACTCCAACAACAGGGTATTATGTATAACACTATATTTATAAACTATCATGGGTTTTATACTTCTTACAAATTCTATAAAATAAAATGTTAAACACTATATATAAATTATTGTTTTAATTCTTTTAGCACAACTGCTCCTGTAATTCGCCCAAAATCAATCAAGTTTGGGGAAACAAACATGAAGGTTACCGGTGAGTTGACTATTTTGAAAGTCAACATGCATTCTTCTTGGTTTTTTTTTTTTTTTACTACGAGGGAATTCATCTTTCAGGTAATTTGATGCGGTTTGTCATATCAGGGAATCTTCTTGGACTCCCAGCCATTTCTGTACCCGTAAGTACTGTTTTACTTTACAGATTCTCATGTCATTCACCTAACACTGGCAGACCACACTGTATTTGATTTGATAGTGTGGGCAAGGATTCTTATGTCAGCTACCTGGCAGACCACACTATACCTGATTTGACAGTGTGGGCCAACCACAGGGTTGCTTGAGAAATAACTTTTTTGAAAAAAAAAAAATTTGTTTTTTTCAAAATCATTTTTTTTTCTAGGTGGGTTATGATAAGCAAGGGCTTCCAATTGGAATACAAATCATGGGTCGCCCGTGGGGCGAAGCTACAATTTTGCGATTGGCTGCTGCATTAGAGGTAAATGTTATTCTAATTCCACCAATAAAAGAAATTAAAAAATATGATATTATTAATATTAATAAATAAACATCATATTTCAGGGACTACGTGTTGAAACTAAGAAGCCAGTATCATATTTCAATGTTCTAAACAAGCACTGAAACCCTAAATCCATATTCCATCAAGACATTTTTCTGTGATTATCCGAGTTTTTAGTTTGTATTCTATAAAAGAAAACTATATTTTTAATTATATTAGATGTATTAATATTGGAACCTTATCTAAGAAATTGGAATAAAAACTAGCTATTAGTTCACAAATCATTAAGCATCATCAACAGTAGCATTAATGTTTCAGCTTCTCATTCATATTGTACAGAATAGAATTGATGATTTTTTTTTAGTATGGGGGAGGGGCGAAAACGTAAATTGTCACTAATTAATTGGACCCGGAAACCGTGTCATCATTTGCAAGCTTTTTATCAACCACATCACTTGGGATATCTGGGCCTGGAGGGATCTTTCCTGGATAATCAGTTGTTGAAGGATCTGATCCTAACATGCTGCAAACAAACAAACAAAAAAATTAAATCAATATTTCTTGAATAACAAAATAAAATTTGATGCAAAATGAGAAAATGTATTCACCTTTTATCCACAATCACCATGGAACGAAGCTCACAGTTTGCAAAACTACAAATATGATTTTAAATATCGGTTAAATGCAAGAAAAGTCGTTACATTTTGGATGTTTTCATGGAATAAAGAAAAAAATCATGAAACATTTAAAACTAGAAAAATGACAGAATAACTTACTGTTTATTAATTTCTTTTTTTACCAATGGATGACAGTCATTACCAAATGTAGCAAGTGTATGAAACAAGAATCCACTGTGAGTTACAATAGCTATTTCCTTTTCTTCACGTGTCCATAGCCTATATCAATCAATCAATCAATCAATCATATAATACTTGTAAAGTAAAAATAAATTTCCCTAATAAAAAATAATTTGAAACTAAACTCACCAATTAAAGAAATGTTTCCCCCTGTTTGCAAGCTCTTCTTTTGTTTCCCTTTCATCAGCCTTCCATAACACATCCTCATCACTTTCTATCTGAAATACATAAAAATAAAAAACATATAAATCATTTCAAAAATTTAAAAACAAAAAAAAAGGTTATAGTATTTACCAATGAAAAATCGACAGCGGGAAATAGGCATTGGTATTCACTGACACTTCTCCTACGATCACAAGGATGGACACCCTAAAAACCAAAGAAGAATGTTACAATACAAGAAATGTCAATGACCTATTTTTTCTCTTCTTCTTAGAGTGATTTACATTTTTGGTCCTTCAATTTTGGTACTTATTGGAGGTTTTTGTAATAATGTTGTTGGTCCTTGTTCCAAGTAAAACAATTACATTTTCGAGACCGAAAAATAGTCGTTTTACTTAGAACAGGGATTAAAAATGTTACAAAAACCTCAAATAAGGACCAATATTGCAAAAATCATGAATCTAGTAAACCTACCAAATGTTCACGACAAAGTTCAACTGCAAGAATAGGAGGACAATTTAGGCTTGAAATTGCAGATCGACCACTATTTCCAACATTTGCCAACATCAATGGCATTGAATCCACTTTATCTGTGTAACCTTCTCCACCAAATACTCCAACTGCTGTTTGCATAGTCCTAAAAATTAAAATCCAAACCAAAAAAAAAAAAAGATTTTCAATTTTCAATGTAGTGAATAAAAAATAAACAAAAATGTGATTCCATTGTATTAATTACCTCAACAAAGGAGATGTAATAACTACTTCAATCTTATTAGCAAGCCCACATTCATGAACATGTTTTCGCAAATTTTCAACCTAATAGTTTTTTTTTTTTTAAAAGTCAAATTTCAGAAAGAAAATTAATATGATGTGGAGAATTTGTTGACCTGTTGCCAGCCTAATCGAGTTAACTCAGCATCAAAATACTCATGAGACATGTAGGCTTTGTAATCTTTGTCTCCTATTACATTGTGAACTCCTTGTGCATGCCTAACCTAAATAGCAATGTAAAAAGATTTAAAAATATAATTCTGTAATAAAAAGAAATTAAAGTAAATTGCTGTTTCTTGGATTTAACCCTAGATTGGAGTAAAAAAAGTTGGGTAATAACCAGGTGAAGAGTCTTGGATCGATGCAATGGATACAAACTTGAAGTCGAATCCATTTTTCAAACTGCAACAAAGATATTAGTACACGGAAATTAAACAAATTGGAAGAATTTAGATTAATGTGGCATGGAATTAAACAAAAAAGATCAGAAATTCAAATGCGAAATCAAATTTAGGATTTCTGCAGTTTCTTTTTTCAAAGTGTTCTTTTTTCAAAGTGTTCAAAGTATGTAAGTTATTATCAATTGGAAATAACCGTTGTGTTATTACTGTATAATTATCGAGCAAATAAATCCCAAATCTGAAAATTAAAAAAGAAAAATTGGATAGAATATAACTTCAATGCCAATAATCGAAGGAAAACTGAAATAGAACATAGGCATTCGAAGGCAAAAACACAAACATACATATATATGGTAAGAAATTAAGAAATCTTAATTTCATATGTTCGTGAGGTTTAGAAATGGTAAGAATTAACACAAGTCGAGATTAACTAAGAAATCTGATATGGGTAAGGTTTAGAAAGAGTAAAGAAATCGATAGAATTGGAGGGTTTAGAATAAATTACCACAAGCAGATAGCGAAGGATCTGATCGATTCCTGTGGAATAGGAATCGAAGAATGATATGGAGGAAAACGAGCGCCTTTGTTGATACAAATAGTGATGGCGAAATGTGTCATCAACGTGCTGATTTGTGGTTGAAACTTGTGATTGTGATATTCGATTCTTGTCATCGACTTCTCTCCTTTGACTGCTATGTTGACCTTTCACCTCTTTCTCCCCTTTTAAAGTTTTGATGACATGATAAATCGGGTTTGAAAGGGTGGACAGCGTGGGCTGTAGGATTTTTTTTTTTTTTTTTGAGAGGTAGGAGGTGCCATAAGCAACATCATTCACTCTTGTGGTACCGTATATTTTCATGTTTCTCCTTCTATTATATATTAGCTTGAGTTTTGGTTAGTTTGTATTTTATACATGAAAATTTGTACCAAAATGTGTTTGGGTTGTAAGAGATGGGAGGGATGGATATTCATGTGTTGTGGGATGGAATGAAAGCAAGTGTGAGGAGAGAAAAAGGTTGATATGGTTGTTAAATGGCAATGATCGGGAGGGTGGGAGGGATGGACACCCTCCACCCTAAGGGTGGACGATGTCGAAGGAGGTGACTGCCTTAGGTGTTTTAATATTGTGACCGTACGAGAATTCCATGTCGAGCTTCCAGCTCTTTCTTTCCTCCTTTATCTTTTATTTTCTATTTTTTACTTGTTACTTGTAAAAAAAATGTAGAAAGGGAAGGAAGCCAGGATGATTGTCTCCGTATGATTTGGGTGTTTTGGGAAAGGGAGCAAGTGAAGGGAAAAGATAGAAAAAAAAATTGATATAGAGCTAATGTGTCATTTGGAAAGGCTCGGAAATGTAAGAAGGATACTCACCACCCTAATGTTATGTTTATTTAGGGGTGTCCAAAAATCAATTCATTGGTCCGATCTTGATCGGATGTAGTGTATAATCGGTGAACTTTTGGTTCATGATATTATCTAGTTTTAGTCCTTGGTTCGGTTTCCACCGGCCATTATGTAATGTCTTTTTTTTTCAAATTTGAAATGAAGTCATTTTGTTTTTTGATGAATACATAGCTTCACGAAAGTATCTACGGCTATAACAAAATTTTCGATATTGTGTGAGTATTAATCAAAATAAATGGGTTAGTCGTATATCGGGTTGGAACCTGAGAATATGATTTGATGTTTAATTTAGTATGTGTGGGAGAGAATAAGCAATAATCAATAGCTTATGGTTTCGAATTATAGAGCTTAACATGTTTGGCATCTTTCTGTATGTCTTTAACAGAAAAAAGTGAGTTGTGCTCACCGTACTTTTTCGTATTGGAAAAGGATTCGAAAAGATAAAAGTGAGTTGTGCTCACCGTACCTTTGATAGGACTTAATGTAACGACCCAAATTTCACGTCCAAAAATTTCGTTTTTAAATCAATACTTTGGAAAACATTTGTAGATAAAACATTGTCTGATCAAGCCATTTCATAGCATACATCGTATCTGAAACCAAAATATGAAAACAACCAAACATCAGAGTGCAAATCCCAGAACAAGTTTGTAAAGCGGAAAACAGTGTATGTATGTGTATGATGTGCCGCTACCGCGCGAGCTCCTTCCTCTTCGATAAAGAGGTACCTGAAACCAAAACTGAAAACTGTAAGCACAAAGCTTAGTGAGTTCCCCCATCGTACCACATACCATACAACCACATAACACAAATATATTGTCAGGCATATCTGGGTGCCCGACCTACCCCTTCGGTCCTCTCAACCGGATGCTGACTAGCATATCTGGGTACTGGTCTCCCCTTCGGTCCTCTCGACCGGATGCTGACTAGCATATCTGGGTGCTGGTCTCCCCTTCAGTCCCCTCTCGATCGGATACTGGGGACTATCTCCCCTACTGTCACTAGCACATAGCATCATATCATACTAGCACGTAAACATATCAAGTAGTAGCAAACCTAGATGAATATCACATAGACAATCATCTAATCATACAACTCCTACTAATGGGCCGGCATTGTGGCTGTAGACCCACCACTACTGGAGGGTAACTCACCTCGAAGTAGCTGTTGATCTGTGCGGGAACTGTCTATCTGCTGCTGTTGCTCCAGAAATCCTCCGGCTGTAATTCCCACAAAACAATCCATCAAAAACTGCTAACTGTCCTTAGGTAAAATGACTATTTTACCCCCGACCAAGTCAAAGTCAAAGTCAACTACCAGTTCACCTGACTCATCGAGTTGGCTCGTCAACTCATCAAGTCCCTATCCTTCCATTTGTTCTTACACTCGTCTCTTGTGACAACCTGAAATTTCCCATTCTAATCAAACCATTTCAATCCAATAGAAGTAGAGCAGTTACAATGAAAATTCAAACTTAGAACATAAGTTTGGCAGTTTTAGGGTTTTACACCAAAAAGGGGTATTAGGAGAGTGGTTGCACTAGGATTTTGTGCAACACTGTAAATTCCATTACCCTAGAATCATTAGAATCCATTCCGAGATTAGAAATATTTTCTGCCAAAAATCTCAGGACTATAAATAAAATTCTGGACCAAATTGGTTCATTATTTGATTTATAATTAGAGAAAAGTCAAATACTCTCTCACGGATCTTCGGGTTTTCATCCCAGATTGTGAGTCTACTGCCCTAAATGTGTTTTAATACTTGTTATATGCGTTATAACATTGTTTACATGTCCAAAACACAAGATCCGGGAGTTTACCGCCCAAGAACGTTCTTGGGGAGTAAACTCCAAAATCAAGCCTAAAGGCCACCTAGTCCCATTTCCGTGTTAGGAAACTAACTAAGGACTTAGTGTATGATCATTAGAGGCTAGAAACAAATCAAAATCACTTAGTTTGAGGAGTTTACGGCCAAGGAACAACCTCTTGGGCCGTAAACTCCAAGTAAAGGGCACAAATGAGTGCCTAGTGATCCTTTAGCCTTAGAACAAGAACCTAGAAGCCTTAAGCAAGTGTTTTAGACCAACAAAACAATTAGAAACCCACTTTGGAAAGGAGTTTATGGCCAAGATGCTCCTTAGGCCGTAAACTCCAAGTTTTTAGTGCCAAAAACCACTTCAAACTCTTCCTAAGGCTTAGTCTCATTTTTGGCAAGTACCTTAATGTGTTTAGGACCTAGATAACACATGAAAAGCATAAGTGTTGAAGAGTTTACGGCCAAGAGCACCCTAAACACTTCCTAAGGCCAAGAGGGCTTTTAGGGCAGGTACCTAAAATGAGATATGGACTAGTTAAAATTCTTAGGACCTCATGTGTGAGGGAGTTTACGGCCCAAAGAGTTCTATGGCCGTAAACTCCATCAAATGGTCCCATTTAGTGCCATAAATCTTCCTTAATCCAAGTATTGAAGCCTAGACTTGTTCCTAGAATTATTAGAGACTTGAAAGGACAATAAGAACCCTCCCAAGGGAGTTTACGACCGTAAACTCCAAGGGAAAAGGGGTCTTTGGGCCGTAAACTCCCCAAAGGAGTCAATGTGGTGCCCAAACACTTGTATAGCCTTGAAACAATTCCCCTCTAAGGTTGTAGTACTTCTAAACTCCATTTCATGACTTGGTTGGGAGTTTACGGCCAGGAGCTTACTCCCCTGGGCCGTAAACTCTAATGAATATGGTCTTTTGACCTTAAACTTCCATTAGGGGCATTGCACTTCTTTGTTGCAACCCATTAGCCTCCTAGCACTTGACCAAAAGTGTTGACCTCGCGCTTAAATGTTATTACTTGTATAATTAGTGTTATAATCACTAATTATTTATATACATATGTTTTCATATGTAATTAGGATCATTGTGTGTGTCTAAGTCTCCACTTGACACCAAACACTTGTCCGATCCTTCCGTACGATAACAGTCCGTTCAATTCCAGTCACTTACCGCAGGTGAGTTCATACCCCTTAACTAATGTTTTAAACTCTTTTTAAATGTTTTATGGGGGGGGATACAAGTAGAATCATGCTACTTATTATGTCAATCACATGTGATTAGTAAGTGGGATTACATTACTTATTACATCAATCACATGTGATTAATATACAGCATCAAATGATTTGGCTACTCATTAGCCGTTTTACCAAACAGTTTCCTTCAAATGACTTTTTGTAACATTTTATACGTTTTAAACTCCTTTTTACACTGTACAGCTTACTCCGTACATTTCCTTTCAAACTTATTTACAACTGTGTTTCAAACAAATGTTTCCTTATACTTAAACTGTTTTATTAAACTTATGCCTTCAAATTGTTTTATAGATTGACACCAAGTCGATCTTTTCTTAAAATAATACTTATATTTCAAATGTCTTACAAATCTTATTTATGCTTTTATATTATAAATTGCATGCCTCTATATGTATACTTATATAAGAAATGTTTAAAAGACTTAGGAAGGCTATCCACCCTATTTCCTTTTCGCGCCTTGAGATGTGGTCTGGTGGGATTTTGGGTATTCGTCCGAAGGTCGTTTAAATATTAGTTATATATCATGTACACATATATAGTCATAAAAGGTCCTTCCAGTTCATCCTATGCCCTTGGGTAGCAAGGGTATACTGTTGGATTAGTGTCTAAGTCCATAACTATTTTGGTATGTACTTGACCCGATGGTGCATGGTCCTTTTGGGTTGCCTTCACCAAAGCAACTTGATAGGATGAATTATGGAGAGTAAGGATTAAATATGATTTATTAATATATTATGGGAATAATATATTAAAGGAGAAATCATATTGTTTAATTAATATTAGTCAATAATTAATTGGTAATTAGTTTTGTGACTAAAATAGATTAATTAAACTTAAGGGACTGGAATTGTAATTATAAGATAATTGCAATTTGGGCCATGGATTGCCTTGTATTAAGGGATGGACGAATTCTAATGGGAAACCCATAAGGAAATCGTCCATGGGCTTAATTAAAGGAGTCTATGGGTTGCTTAGGGCTTAAGCATCCAAATTAGGGTTTCCTTGTTAGATAACCCTAATAGCCCAACTATATTAAGACCCCTTAAGGCTCAAAAACGTGGCTAAGGTTCTTGTAAGGGTTAACACACGTTTTGGCAGCCTCCAACCTCTCTCCTCTTCATCCTCTTGCTTATGGTGTTTGTGAGCCATTAGAGGAGTGACACTTGTGACTCTAAGCATTCCAAAGTCAATACAAGGAGATTTGGGATTGTTATTGCTACATAACAATCAAGGTATGATCTTAAACCTAATTACATATTAATATGATTACTTGTATGCTAGAATTAGGGTTTATAGTCTTGGATTCAAAGCATGTACA